TTTTGTTTAGTTCAAAATAAATATTTGATATGCTTTTATATTAAAAATAATTTTGTGAAAATTTTTAAATTGTATAGCTTATAAAAATTCATTTGCCATTATATAGATTAAGCCTGAATACATTTAATACAAACTCAGTGAAGCTAATTATAAAAATATTATTTTTTAACATTTAATTAAAATTATATAATTTTAATGCCATTTCTTTAAAAAACATTTTATTTTTATTTTAATGAATATAAAAATATACTGTAAGACAAACTCTAAGCTTCATATACAGTACATTACTCTACTTATAATTGTTTATATATTATATAACAAATTCATAATTAAAATTAACATAGATTTACTAACTACCAAATTACACTAATTAACAAATTCAAATTTATAACTAAATAAATGTTATTAAAAATATAATTATATAATAATAATAATAATTAAAATAAATTCCAAGTTTTACTTAAATATAAGATATGTATATATTTTTGTTAAAATTATATCAATATTATATACAAATATTAATTTTATATATCAATACTGCTGTATATTTTTATTATTTCTACATATTCTACATATACTGCATTTATTTAAGCATTATTGGCAACAAATATTAGTAATTTTATAATTTTTTATGATTAAATAATTTTATTTTACATCATTCATTGTAAATAACTGAACATTTTATAAAATTTAGTTCAAAATTGCTATTAAAAAAAGTAATAATAGATAAATCAATTTGTATAAGACTTATGCTAGTTTTAATGTAAACTTTAACGAACTATCTTTAAATATCACAAATAAATTATTATTTACTGAAAAAATAAATAGAGGGAGAGGTAGGAGTTAAAGTAGGATTCAATTAGCATTTATATGGCTTTATTTAAAGTCGACAAAACTAGTATTAAAAAATATTTTACTTTTGATAAATATATACATAAATAAATAGCGAATCCGACCTTTGCTTCAATTCAAATACATGTATTAAACTAAACAAAAGAAGCAATACTTACTGAAAGTCAATTCAAATCTTTAATTATTTGATTGTTTACTATTATATATATATATATGGAATATTGAAACCAAAAAATCACATATATTTGCCAAATAATTATATTCCATTTAATAGTATATACTGTAGATATAACTTAATTAATATACTTAACTTTTAGGATCCATTGAAACTTCCAACTTAAACGTTATATAATTGATAAATATAATATCAAAGATTAATAAGTAATTACAAATTTACTAATTTTGCCAAATTTTTAATTATGTTCACTATTTCTGATAATAATTTCTCTATAATATATCACTTTACACATAATCCATATTTTAAAATGCTATCAAATAATTTGTAATACGATTAGCACAACATTTTATAATATTTAAAAACTTCTTGGTTTTATTTTATAGAACTTAATTTATATATTTAATTTTTAATTTTGCCCAAAATAACTTACCAGTATATTTAGCATTTCTAGTATATTTCTCAAATAAATTTCTATTTTTTAAAACTTAGTATAACTGACCCTAATCTGTGCTAATATAGTAATTTTAATTAATTATTGCTTAATTAAATATAATTCCTTTAAATAATATTTAAAATCTTCAAATAAAGTTAACACTAATACTATAAAAATATTATATTCTTTGATAAAATATTAGAGAAAATTTTAAAAATTGAAATAAATATTTTTGCAATTATTTTTATCCAAAAGTTTTTAGTTTTATATTCATAAATATGCAAAAAATCATTTACCATAATATTAATAATTATAATTATAATCATAACCATTCATTTTTTCTACATAAATAAAAATTATTTACATGAATAATTATATATTTATATTTATATATATATATTTATAAATATCATATATATTAAATTGAATGTAATATTTCTCAAATTTAAATATAATTTAAATAAAAATTATTATTTAACTAGGAATCAATTTGTAGTCTGCGGTCCATTTTATATATTTAAAAATTTTATTTATAGGAACTTTCAGTTTATCGTATTTTTAATGTATAATAAAAGTGCAGAATTTGTTTGTTTTTATTATTTGTATTGTTTGGTTTGTTTTTCATTTTTATATAACTTATTAGTTATCATAATATTATTACAATAAATACACTCTGAGGTAGAAAATCGAGAGACAGATAATAATGTCAACGACTGGACCACTCATTACATATAGTTTATGTGTTTTTTGTTTGTTTTGATGTTAAATACTGCAAACATGTTGTTGTTTGTGATTTTTTACAATTTTTGTTAATTAAAATAAATTTATAACACAATGTTCAATAAAGTGGAATTTCTTGTTGGTTTTAAAAATAAATTATACTTTTAAAAAATTATTTAATATTTTTTTCTGAAAAAACTTTAAAATTATTATCGATAAATGTTTGAAAAATATTAAAATAGTTAACAAAAAAATAACAATTGAAAAATAATATCGAAGCACAACTAATGAGTATTTTTATTGTTAATTGTGTATTATATTTTTAAAATGTTCATGATAATTTATGTGTATAATACCGATACAATAACTCCTTATATCATGATCTCCTAGTTTTACAATAATATTTCTACTCTTTAAATATATTATATAATTTTTTTGTAAAATTATTTTAAACAAATATCAATTGTAATCTTAATTTCTACACAATAATAATAAACTCATATAAATAATAATAAATTTTATAACATTTGTCTCGTTTTTTGTTGTTGTAGTACTGTATTACTCTTTATACATATATGTAGTATAAGATAATATAGACATATAAAATGGTAAAAATAAACGGAAAACATAATAAAAAAGAAACGAAAAGAAGAACCAAATGATGAAGAAAATAAAAAACAAAAAATATATAATAATTTTGTTGTTGTTTTAACTCCAATATAAAAGGGTTCAAAAATGTCGATATATTGCACGCAACATGTCTTATAATAAAAAGATATTTTTGTTTATATCGGAGTTGTAATGCACCTCATAATAGATATAAATACTTAAAGCTTACAAACATAATTAACAAATTGCGTTAATCAAAGCACCGGAGTTTTAATAATAATAATAAATAGTAATTAATGGGAAAAATTGATAATTAGTTAATTTAATTAATCTCAGCTAATAGTCAATAATATTTAAATAGTTTGCTTTGCTTTTTTAAAAACAATTTATTATTAATTTGTATCATAAATTTCAATATCAATCGGACTTCTCGTATCATCTCATCATCAATAGGAACTGGAAGACCCGTCTCATCTGCCAAATCAAGTATATAACAGCACATACATTGTACATGTGATCTACCTGTGTCTACAATGATACCGGTACAATTGGCACAGGTGACCTACCTATCCATACATATGTGCTTTACAATAACTAATATGGCTTTAGAGCGAGTATTATAATAATTATAAATATTTAATTATACAATCAATTATATAATAATAATAATAGTGATGATAATAATTTATCTTTTCATTAAATAACTAAATCATTAAAGGAATGCTGTTTTTCATATGTATAATAATTTTTTGTCTATAATATATAAATAATACAATGATTTTTTTATATTAAATGTAAAAGTTTATATCTGTCTGTATTGATGGTATCATTTATAGTAATTTAGTTTAATGTGTTGTATATGTAATATGTCTAAAACATTAAAACTTTTTTTTATTATAATATAATTATCATTATCATTTTTTGTTCATTACAAAAACATTATTTTGGCGGTTTTCATCTCTAATAATAATTATTAAATTAAAACAACTAAAAATACTTGATGGACACCAACGACATTTACAATTATTATAATTATCATCAATGAAATAGCAATGTTATGTTGTTGTGGTATGTTTTATGTGATCAAAGAAAAAAGTTTTCAAACAATTTGTAAATATGATAGATTATTAACAAAAATATTAGAAATATTAGTTATAATAATTTTCAGTACAAAACAAATTAAATAACCACTAATTAATTTATATAATAAATAATTTAATCACACAATTAATTGTGTTTTAGGGTTTATTGTAATTTGTAGTGGAAAAATCTCATTCAAAAAATGTTATATTACTTATAGGGAACTTTGGTTTTTTTTGTAGTCCTATTAATTTAAATATTAATTTATATATATTTAGAGCATTATGTTTTATCAGTTATCTAATATGGTATATATTTTTTAATATATATATATAATTAAATATTCGAGTAATAAAAAAATCAGGAACTTGTCTGACATTTACCTGTCAATAGTTATAGTTATCTAAGTATATATTTTAATAATAGTTAATAGTTTTGCTTAGTTTTAGTTTTTTTTAATAAATAGTTGGAAATTAAAATCTTTGTTTTAATCATTTAATTTAGTGAAGAAAAGTTGAGGTTTTTTTGATATTTTATTATTTTGTTTGTTCCGCAATAACAATATCGATATATTATGTTTGTTTAATATGTTTTTGTTTTGAATAACTTTGATTGAGTTACCCATTGTTTGTAATAAAACAAAATTGATTGCAATTTTTACAATTAATTAATTAATATATTTTTTATATGACCCGCAACAATATATATATTGTAATATACCTCAACTTTAGGAACATATTAATTTTTAAAGGTATTTTTAATAATGTTTGGAATAATAAAAATATATAATTAGTTATTCCAAACAATTAAAGTATTGTTAATTAATTTTATTGAAAAATAGCAATCAATTTTAGATCTATTATATTATAATAGAAGTCATTGAATGATAAAAATCACTTTTTAGTTAATTGTTTAGTTAGATTTATTCCCGAAGTTTTCCCAAAATTTTGGCCCAAACCTGATATACATTTTCTTTAAGTGTAATCAGAAAACTCCTAATTATTTTTGTTTCAGCGCTTTTGATACAATTCTCTACACGTTTTGCGCAAATGTTTAGTTAAATAATTAATAATATATAAACAAATGTTTTTTATTGTATATAATTAGAGAAACACAACAACACAACACACAAACAATTAATAGTTTAGTGTTTGTGAGTGATTAGTCAGAAATAATTGATGCAAACATTTATCTAATCAAACGATTGCCTGCAATATATCCCAGCCCTTACTTTACTCAATAAAACATTACAAATACAAATACAATGAATACATTAATGAGTCAATCAATTAAACAAATCATTTGCAGCAATCAATTGAATTTGCTTTAAATAGTCAAATGTGACAAAACTTGTTTTCTCATTAAATCTTAATTATTGCTTTCAATAAGTGTTATCACTAAAGTTTGTAAATTGAATGCCATTATTGTTCATATTTTTTGTTAAATAATTAATGATATTTGCATCGTTGCCATTCATATACATAGATGACATGTCTTGGAAATTGTTAACCTGTTGTTCATTAGATGATCCCATTGTGACACCATTTGTTGTGATGACATTTGATGCCGAAGTGTGGACACCGGTCTGGTTATTCATATTGCCACTCGATTTACACATTTCTATAATTATAAAAATTAATATTTTTTAGTAAGATATTATATCTTTTTTATTTGTTAATTATAAGCACATACAACATACATAAAATACAATACAAGATAACAAATATAGCATTACTTAAGCTATACTGTTATCTGAAAAAAGAGTTATATGTTTAATAAAAATTAAATTTGTTATAACTATAAATTTGATAAAATAAAAAAATATTTTTAAGAGTGTATTCAACAAACAGCAGGAATTAAACTACTATTTGCAACACCTTTTCGAGTCATAATTCAATTAAATTTACATTACGTTTAAAATTGTAAAATAAAATAATTTTCTAATCTTAAGAATGAATCTCTCAGTTAATGCTTTGCCACAAATGATGCCATTTCTAACAAAAAATAAATACTTATTTATTTCTAGTGTTTTGATAATAATAATAATAATAGTAATGTAATAATAATAATAATAATATAAATACTTTACAAGTAGTGCCAAAAATTCTACATAACATCAAATGGAAAGTTTATTTCCCTTATAATTACTAGTTTTGAAGCAAACACTTTGAAAAATATCGGGGAATCAGAGTTTGTAATGAAAAAGTTGGTCTCATTCTCTCACATTTACTTACAATATAAGTGAAGTTGCATTACATTACATATAAATACTTTTTTATATCAAACACTGTATTTCATAACAAGAAAGTTAGTCTTGAATGAGGATATAAAAGAATTTTAACAAGAGATGGGAGGAGAGGGGGTCTCAATGGGTATGAGTGGCAAAGCACCTGATTTTCTCTGTTTTGCTGGCCTTTCATTTCACAACAATTGTATGGAGCAATAGAGTGTGGATGCAGTGAGAGAGTGTAAGTTAGTGAGTGAGTGAGTGAGTGAGTGAGTGAGTGAGTGAGTGAGTGAGTGAGAGAGAGAGAGAGAGAGAGAGAGAGAGAGAGAGAGAGAGAGACGATCCGAAACTGAGATGTAATTACAGTAATAACAACATCTAATAGTGAGTTGGCTCGTCAAACGATTACTTGGTCGGCGCCAAATAGGGGGTCGACAACCATCACATAACACTAGACTTATTATTGAAAAGATAGAGAACAACACACGACTATCACTGCTATCTGATCCCATCCAATATCATTGTACACACAATATCAAGAGGTCAGAGGGGGCGCCACTTCTTAGTTTGTTTTAATTTTGCTTTTTTATATGTATTGAATAACATTTGAAATCCTGTTCAGAGCCGTACTATTATAGGGATTAAGAGAGTGAGAGAGGCGTTATCACTGACGAGAGCGCAAGGATTATAGCATTTAAATTTATTTTATAAAAGATCTCATATCACTCTCACAAATATATCTTAAAGGATATTTCATTTATTTATGTCATATATTAAAATATTTTATAAAAATATTTATAATCTAATGTATAAGATTTGTTAAACTTAAAAGCTGTCGGTTCCTTATGGCAGTGGACAGGCATTTACGTCATGTCATTAAAATATATATTAGTTATTAAATGTTATGTTTGAAGTTCATTATTCTTAACATATAAATGATGTATAAAAAGTAAAAATTGAAATTATATTTTTTAATTTGAAAAAATGATGGACTGATAAATTGAAATCAATATAAATCTATGGGTGTGGGAGTAGTACTTTAATATCAAAACGAAAAAATTGTTTGAATTGCATGACAAGTCATTTAATTTGAAATGTGATAAACACAGGCCTCAGTCAAATCATACACTTTTACTCTTAAAAACCATTAATATCCATATAATATATATATATAATAGTTTTCTTTAAAATAAGAAAAAAAATCTATAAAATAATATTTTCTTTGTTTGTTTTTAATAAATCCATTGGAAAACCAGTGAATAAATGTCAGTAATTTTTTAATTTTAGTTTTTACTCCTCAGTAAAAAGATTATTATATATTGTTATTTTTAAAAATAAAAACAGTTAAACTTAAAAATTGTATTATCAATGAACTGGTATTGCATATACATTATTAATAGTAGTGAACATTGTATTGTATTGTCAAATACATAGGAGTATTGCATTCATAGAGCAATATCTTTGCCAAAGCTGTCGATTACATACTCTATTATAAAGTCCATCCAATACTCAATACTAACACATTTTTGTTTCATTTGTATTTTCTCTATCTTTTTTTTAAATCTCTCTCTCTCTCTCTCTCTCTCTCTCTCTCTCTCTTTATTTCTTTCTCTCCCTTTCTGCCACATGAGACTAAACTCAAGTCAACAGACAGTCCCATTGATTTTTTATAGGTATAATTTATAGATATATATATATATAAACTAAACAAAAAAATATTTTTTAAAAACTCTTTAACTGGACATTGAAGACATTGAAGACAGAGAATAATAAAAGAAATAACATTTTTAACGAGAAAACTATTTTTTGTTGTTTTCAATGGAGCGGAAAGGATGAGACCCGACAACTAAAATAGAAAATTTTATACAAAAAAAGTTTTCTTAAAACTATATATTGAACTGAACTGTTGGTCAAAATCTCTATTTTTATTCAGACAATACAACGATGGGTTGGGATTTTATGTCACAATTTGTGGTATTTTTTGTTATATAAATAGCGTATTTAGTAATAATTATTTTTTAGTTATTAATGTCATAACTAAAGAAAAATATAAATATAACGAGAGTTTGTTTTGTAAGCGAAAAATAAAGGGATGGGAAGGCAAAGTAGGCTTTATTGCATAAATGAGTTGAGTGTTTAAGCCATTAATGATTATGATGTTATATAATGTAATTAATTAATGGCACTTTAATTACGACCAAAACGGCACATCACAGGCAATGATGGTTAGCGTCGGCAACGCAATGAACTCAGCATTTAGTATAATATGTTGTTTGCTAAGGCATTACAGCCTTATTATGATTAGGATATTGCTATTATATGCTCGTCTCTCATCTCATTTTAGCACTACTTTTATAACATATACATAGTGTGCATATCTACCACTATTACCACCACTGCCTACCAGTACAGACACCATTGCGTTTGTCTTTCATGCGATAATTTATAATTACGGCCAAAAGTTTATGTCTATGAGAGGGATGTTATATGCACTTCACAAATACTATGGATAATAATAATAAAATGCAAGTCATGTCAATATTCTCGAGACATACAGCGCCAGGGGATAGACACCAAACCAAGAGAGAGAGAGAGAGAGAGAGAGAGAGAGAGAGAGAGAGCTGTCGGGATATAAACATATCTCTTCATGTATTTTAATTATAAGGAATTTTTTTCATTTTAAAAAACATTTTATAATTTCATTGGAATTTTTTTCATCGAAACAAAAATGATGGGAAAATTACTTTTAAACAAAAATATATTTGTGTTTATATTAATATTGTGGATATACTGTATTAACTATATATAATATTCATATATATTGATGAGACATAAAGCCGCACCACACGAGAAATAAATAAACAAATGATTTTCATAACGCAAATATTGTTGTAATTATCTAATACCGCAAAAATAACATGATTTTTTTTGGCAATTTACTGATAATAATAATATCCTATTGGGAACTTATTTGACTATTAATTAGTTGTTTAACATGTTTTTGAAAAAATAATAATTATTTTTCTCATTCAAATTTAAATTACATAACAACTATAGTTTGCAAAATGTTTATTTTAAAAATTTTTATTTAATAACAAAAATTTTTAATACTGTATGGCATCTAAATTGCATTCAAAATATTTTAATAGGTTGTTGTTATTTTTGCATCTATAATACAGTATTACTATATAATTGTTTGCATAAAAAGCGTTAAATAATATATTATAAAAATATATGCTTATCATTATTTTTATTCAAAAATGTTTTTACAATATATGGATTTTTGATGCAACAAATAATTTGTATAAAATAAATATTTTTATTAAATACTCGACTCTATGTGTCATTTAATTTAGTAGTTTTTTTGATAAAAACAAAAAAATAATGCAATTTAATTATTTAAAAAATCTCATCATATATTAGTTATTTTAATATTGATATAACGTATAGAATTTCAGGTATTAGCCGACAAAACAATTTACACATTTATTACACAAATGAGTTTTTATTTAAACTATTATACCTATAGTTTATTGCAGTCGTGATAGTTTTGATTTGTTTTTTWAAATTATTATATATATATATATCTCACTCATGACTATTATTATTATTTCATTGATTAAACGTTTGCAACATTTTTAAAAATCTTAGGTCACAATAAATATTTAAATTTTTATTGTTTAAACAAAAATATAAATTATAGCTACATTTAGTTAAATAGTTTGTTTGGAGAGATAAACTCATTGTTTTTAATATAAATATTATGCAAATTATTTTTGATGGCAAACATAATATTACTGTAAATATTACTTAAATTTCTATTCAATTAATTATAAGTTAAAGTATTTGTTGAAAGAGAAGAAAGAGATTGAATTTAGTGGTATTGATGAGTGAAAAGTACTATAAGATAGTCATACAGTCCTTAGACATGGATTCGTGACTTTCGATATTATGCCTGACTTTATAGTTAATTGAAATCAAGTAAACACTAGAATATCGATTAAATGAAAAATATATGTATTTCTTTGTCAGTAATAACATTGGTTTTTGTTCACAATATAATTATTATAATAGAGAGTTGGAGAGTATGTGAAAACTATTGTTTGGTTTGGTTGGCTGTAAGGACTTGTATGTGAGTGAACTGACTGTCCGTCATATCTATAATTGTGATATTCTTTGGTTTGTTTTCATTGAAAGTTATTTCTTTGGTTGCATTTATTTTCGCTTAATTTTCTTTATTCTATTGGCAGATATGCTTCACTAGACTTACTGACAATATATGTACAGATATGCAGCGCTTCTCATATATATATTGGTTGTACTCCTCATCACATCATCTCATCCCTCAGTTTCTCTCTTTCTCTTTCTCTGTCCTTTTCTCTCTTTCTCTCTC